TCTCTTATTGTTTGGAATGATCCCAAGTAGCAAAAAAACGCTTATATGCACTTTTTTATTAGCGCTTTTTTTAACGCTTCGTAGGCGCTGTGTACTACTTGTGGTCTATTATCTGTGATTCTATTTTTTTATATAACGTATTTGTAAGATGCAACTGCAAATTTTTTATAGAATTATATGTTATTTAGCCTAAATTAATTCTTCTCATTATACTATATGTAATTATTGTAATTATATCTTGATTCAAATTGATTACAACTGGAATCACCGAAATGATATTTAATCAATCCAATATATCCGCGTCGCATTTTATTACACGCAAAAGACCGGTACTGTTCATCATGTTATAACTGCATCAGCTGTATGAAAGCTCGATGTCGCCTCTTTGCTTTGCTGCGTTTTCATTGCGACTTTATAAGCCACATTCAATCACAGCTGGCGACAATTCAGCATTGTGTGCGTGTGTGTGTGCGTATGTGTGCATGAGTATGTGTATGTGTCAGGTTGCATTACTACTCTCAATTCTCGACAGTCGTCATCGTAGTGTGACAATAAAGCGCAGTTAAGCCGCAGTTAGTATATTCGAGGAGAGTCCTGACACTTCGCAGACGCCTTGATCGTAACTGCATAAACATTTGCGAGTACCGAATGGCACATCGCGGAAAAGCGCGGCTGCATTTCTGGTCAGAATTTCACCTCGCGAAAATATACCGAGGCGAACGTAAATCGGTAAGCGGACTTCTGTTCGTTCCACGACCTTGCGGCTTCTTACCTTGCATTTATCGCGAATTCTAGATAAGCGGAGAATTTTTGGTTCATAATCTCAGCGAATTTACTACAACCGACTGCTTGAAATTTCTGTATGGCGACGTAATTAGATTCTCCATATAATTCTCTATTATATAAATGAACATGGTTCATTTATCGAAAATGCGTTTGTCTGATACGGACTTAGACTTATCTGAGCTTAATAGAATGAAGTTATCGGATTGCGATATCTCATGCTATATTTGACGATCAGAATTTCTTGAAGTCACATGAGCTTATTTAATGCTGAATGCGTGATAAAAATATTTGCGTTCTGCTGACCTGGATATTTTAAAAATAGCAAGGAGCACACGATTTTTATATTAATATTTTTATCAACATTTATTAATTAACGTGAGTTGATGAACACAAAGTATCATAAATGTGAAACAGCTATGTCATGATATTTCGCATATCGCGTATATTTTACTTAATACACGATATTTTATTAAAAATTTTGTATTATGAAATGACACACATGTTCTTGGCTCTACGTGGAAACTTCTATTTACAAGTCGTTTATGAAAACGTAATAAATTTCTTTGGTAGAGAGAGAGCATTCAATTCCTCGTGTCTACATTTTTATCGATTGAAGCAAATACTTCGACTCTCTGGTTATAACGCGCTTTTATCGAATTTTTTTAACGGAAATAAAACCGATAGAAACACTGAAACTTTAATTTTCAATCTCTAATTAGCCGATTAATAGTATAACTATCGATATTGTTCACAAAAATATATACTAATATTTTTCCGGAGAATCTCACAAAAAACGAATGGTACATCTTAACTCATTACTTTCTTAATAATCGTGTACAGTGTACAGCTGTTCGAAATGTGGACATTGAATTAGCGCTTATAATTGTCTGCCACAATTTCCGCAATTAAATAGCGCAAGTTGCGAAAGTTACAAAATTAACACGGTCGATACATGGCCACGCGGACTTTGCCGTTAATCCTCGTTTGCGGCCGGAAAAGAGTCTGTCGAGAGTTTATTCGCCGTGTAATATCGTGTAAAACCGCAGAAATTCCGATACTATTCCATTATATCAAAATTCTAGCCGCAACGTTTACGAAAAAGCTTTCAACGATCAGTTTATGTTTTGAATAACTACACTGTTTTTTATTTCTTCGAAAATGAAGTTATACTTATTTTGATGTCAAAATGACATCTTTCATGTCATTTTCACGACAAATAACTTCAGCTTTTGCTATCTGCATGGGATAACAGCGATGATAATAATCTTTAATGAAATAGTAATTGAATAGTGACTACAACTTTTGGCAAATAATTCTGAATATAACCATTTGCATCTACTAAACAGTAATTAAATAGTAACTACGATTATTGGCGAATAGTTCTGAAAGTAATTGCATGGGCAGTAATGAAATAGTATTATTCTTGCACGTAGTTGTCATAGTTACTAGTCGAGTAACTACAGAAATTGAATAGTAACTACAAAAATCTGAGTAGTTCTAAGTAGTTTCTTTTCATACGGGATGCTCAGCTGCTGCCAGAGTTCTGCCAACATAATATATAGCACACAATTTGCAATATGTGTGATCTTGGCAGACTTGGCTTTATCTGAGATAGATACATATATATTAAATTTCTAATACTATATTTTTCATTTAAAAATATTTATTTGGAAATTAAATTTTTCAATTTAAGTTATATTTTGAAATAAAAAAATTATTTTTAAGAATTACCAAGGTTACTTAAAATTTAATGTTAAAATATTGTAAATAAAAGTATAATATCTATTTGAAGTTTTGCTAAGGAAGAAATGCAATATTCTGATTGGATCTTTTTATAAATTTAAAAGTAACTTTTTCAATACAAAAATAAATATTAAAGGGAAAGATAAACTTCAACATCGAAATTTATTTCTTATGACTTATAAGCTAAGACTTTTTATGTGCATCGTCTTGTATCTTTGTGTGTAAAATATTAAGAAAAGTTATCATACTCATGTATATAAACCATGTGTATAAAAAATAAAAGTAAAAATAAAAATAAATATAAAAAATAAAATAAAGTCGGGTCTTCGTCAAAGCTTTAGTACCACCCCAGAAGTCGCTCAGCGATTTCTTTTGCGGGTATTTGAATCTCTGTCATGAGATGTGTGCACAGTATCCTACAGTTCTCTTGCCATTTTTGCACTGGCAATAGTAACTGACTATTGCCTCGGCACCGATCTTTTCTTGATCTACTAAAACGTAGATCAAATATTTAGTTTGATTGCGGTGCCAGACTAGCCCGTCACTACTATACTCGTAGAAGGTGGCTCTTGATGGTGAATGGATCTGAACTTTTTATTTATAAGAGAGTTTTTCGTGACATATAACTTGTGAAGGACGTACTTAATAATTTTATTTTATTGAAAACTTTGACCTACTCATCGAATGGCACCTGTTTTGACCTGCGACGAGTTAGCCAATTTTTCATAGATTTTTGGCATCCTACTTATTTGTGTTTGCTGGTCGCGCGCAAATTTCTTGCCGCATAAAATAGCGCGAATAGTTGTTGCAGGTCGACCGTAAGAAAAAAAAAATTAAACACGTGGTTGTATGCGACGTCAATAAGGTTGCATAAGGTCGTTTATTTATAAAGACGCTTAGAAAAATACAGGGCGGAAAGACCCACGTTTATTTATAGTTTCTCTCTTGTCCGGGATTATAAATAAATGATTCAAAGATTTTCAACTGCTATAGTAATATTGCTTGCTATATCTTAAGCTTTACGAGCTCTGCAAGTTCTCACGTTGTATTCCACTTTTATGATTTGATTTTATTGTTAATGAAGAAACAATTGGATGATGTATGTTGTAGGTATTTCCAAGTTATTGGTTTTAAAGCTTATATAAGTATTGGGATTTAACGTTACATATATTCTACTGATCTGTAATAAAATTTTAATAATTCTAAAGCATTATTAAATTATATCATATTACATTGATTTTGAAATCGAGATCTTAAAAATTTTAATGACATTTTATGATAGACACGAAGTATTTTGTATGTATAGCTGTAACATTTATGAGGATCGCTTCTGTTTTATTGGAATAGTGAACGTACCTAGTCTTTTAAATAAGATAAGCGAAAATAATGGTAGTGGAGACAGATGATATATAAGTTATATAAGTGGATAATAATATATTTATTGAGATGAATTTATTGCAAATAAGATTTTTAAATACACTTTTGTTTTATCGCAAATTATAAAACGCACATAATGTAAAAATAAGAATTAAGCTAAAAAATTTTATACTTTAAAAGAGAATCAAGAGTCATCAAAAGCAAATTTTTTTGAGGAAATTTTCTTTTCAACAATAATTTAAGAATTTCGTAGAACATTTACGAAAGTTAGCCATTTTTCAACCGAAAGCTTCCTCGCGTGGCATAAAATGGGGATTTAAAGAAGTACAATGAAATGCAGATGCTATATGCCACGCCAAAATAAAAGTTTATTCTGACCTTAGCAGGAATTTATCCTAGTAAACATTGAGAAGTGAGAAGGAAGGCAGGGAGAGAGAGAGAGAGAGAGAGAGAGAGAGAGAGAGAGAGAGAGAGAGAGAGAGATATTCTTGTGTATACTTAATCCATAAAGTAATACAAATATTGTATATACGTTTCTCATGCAATGGGTCTTCTGAGGTCTAAGTTTATTTTAATCAATTGTGCATGATTATAAAAATTAAAATTACCACGCGTATTTTTTAAGCAATGGAATAATTATATATTACAGAAATTAGATTAAAAAAAAAACGGCAAAAATAAAATGTATTAGTAATGATAGAGATTTAAATAAATGAAAGTTTATTTTTATTAATAACACTCAAAACTTACATGTCTTCGCTTTCGTATTTTAATTATTAAAAGAAACAAAAATTTTTTAGTAAAAAATAACTTTTTATTAATGATATTAATTTGTATTAATATTATTAGTAAAAATATTTCCATTATTATTATTATTGTGTTTATAACTAATTTTTTAGTAGAAATTAACTTTTAAGTATTTAAATCTCTAGAAGATTCGTCACAAAAATTTAATTTGTCCATGTTGGTTTTTTAAATTTTTATTTATTGCATCTTTTAATCATAATTTTAACAAAAAATGAACTGATTTTGTAACTAATTTTAATTTTAGATTTTATTACAAGTATAAAGCATGAATTTTTTTCATATTACAGAAAGCTAGATTGGCACGTATCAGAATCGCGAAGGCGTCGAGCGGTGCCGCTTTCGTAAGCAAAAAGAAGGCAGCGGAGGCTCGTTTGGCCGCTCAGGAGAGCGGGCTGCAGTTGGAGGAGTTTTACAAAGAGGAGGATATCTTCGAGCTGCAACATCATCACCTACTTCGTTGCTTGGAGAAGACCACGGTAACTACTTCTATCTAATAACAGTATATTGTGATCATGCGAAAACTCTAATGTTCCCTTAGTACTCGCTGAATCGCTCTAAAATCTTTGAAATCTCACCAATAAATTAACTTTCTTAAACAAGGGATTTTATCTTTTATTTCTTGCTTTGAAATGAAAGAACTTAGGCAATATTTTTTCTTCTTTTATTATATATTCTAAAGTTAACGCTATATAAATTAAGATATGCCAAGAAAAGAAATTCGTCTTTAATGTAAAGAAGATTTGTTTTTAAAGTAATATACACACGTCGATTTGGTAATTAAAATTATAAATACTGAATGTGCTTATCTGTGCTAAATTGTTTTCTAAATCAGAATTTTAGTAAATTTTATTTAAAATAATAAATATAGAATAGAGAGATAATATGGGAATATTATCAATATAATGATGTATTACGTATAATGAGTGCTTTTTAGCAATGAAACACAGTTTCATACACTGTGTGATACAGTAATACACAGTATCGACTTGTAGCTGAAACATTACTTAGCTTTTTTATTTCACCACCAGAGTGAAATAAAAAAAGGTCTTATCCTGCATCCAATATATTCGAATATAATCTTAGAATATTTTATTGGAGTATCACTTCTAGAAAAATAAATGGTAAAAATTTGTTATTAGTAAAGTAATACGCGTAAAACAACACAATTGAACACAGCATTTTATCTGTTCATAATTGTGTTATTTTGTGTTATAGTTGGAATGCATAGAACCCGTGTTACACAATGTTTCTGTGTACATTATGGAATGTACTCAATATATATTGATATTTTCTATTAAACTATTATACTATAAAAAGAAGAATAATCTCTAGGAAAATTAAGAAAACCTTTAGGATAATATAAAGGCTACTTTGCTATCATTACGTAGAGTTTTTCGACATTTTGCATAAAGAACGTTGTGACGAAGATTAATCAGCAAAATGATAATAATTAATCATTCATGAATGTAATGTTCTCTCGGTGAACGACGACAAACTCCTACAAAAACGTAGTATATCTTTAGTGTGCTTCAACGTTCCGTCATTAATCCCACGCGAAACGACAAAGCAACTGCATCGTCGTGAATGCATCGTCGACACTTCCGTTTTCGCGTCGAGAATTCAATAGGTACTCCGCCTCGAAAATCCGGCAGTCCGTTTCGCGAGTATTGCCGAGTACCGGAGTAATTTGAATAAACCCTAGTCTCTCCCTCCATCTCCCGAACGCTCCGTCTGCTCGTTTAATTTTAGCCTAGTGAGAGGTTGGTTGCGCAAGCGAGGGTTGCCGCGAACGGTGTGTAGTCTTTATCGAGCCCGAATACATGCGACCAACCCTCGTTTACGGAGCTATTGCTGCTACAGAAATGTGTTGTTGTGGAATCGTACATACGAGGCACAAAAAATCTCTTACTTTTTGTACAAATAGTAATAATGTAATCTTCTTACGGACTCTCTCAAATTCAATAAAAAAAAATCCCAAAAAAATAAGAGCAAGTAAGAGTCAGCGTGATAGTTAATACGCAATCTTAAATCTTTATTCTAGAAAATAGAATCTTTATTTCAAAAAATAATATGTTTCGGTTTATTTTGGAACCATCCTCAGCAATAGAATTTCAAAATATCAATCCCTTTATGTCCAAAAAAAAAAGTCATCATTAGATTAACAGATTTGATGTTGTAATCCCAAGACATAGAAGGAATTTGTCTCGACATTGGATTAAAACCAATTAAAATTTATTATCACTAAATTTATTATCACTATTAATACTCTTTAGTGATAACAAATTTTAATTGATTTTGATCCAATATCGAGACGAATTCCTTCAATGTCTTGGGATTACAACATCAAATCTGTTTATCTGATGATGATTTTTTTCTTGAACATAAAGGGATTTATATTTTGAAATTGTATTGCTGAGGATGATTCCAAAGTGAATTGAAACGTACTATTTTTTGGAATAAAGATTCTATTTTCTGGAATAAAGATTTAAGATTGCGTATTAATTATCACTCTCATTTGCCCTGATTTTTTTGGATTTTTTATTTTTGTACAAATGCAGACAAAAGTTACAGTCAAGTTAGATATAAAAGCGATATAGTAAAATATGAAAATGATCTTAACATATATATTTTTTTACTAAAAATAGCAATTAAAGTGTGATTTAATAGTAGGAATATATTATAAACATATGCGATATGACTCATTTCAAGTAATTCTTTATTAAATGCACAGAATAACGATTTATATAATCTATGCAATCTCCGTTGAAATACATAAAAATTAAGATTTAATAAACGCAATTCACGAATAATTAAAATCTAATTTTATGGATTAAGAATATATTATATTGCTACTTTTTTATTACCTGACTCTGTTATTATTTATAATAAAATAAAAATTTGAATTACGGAAAACGTTAGTTTAAAAAGAAGATAGAAGCTGTGTAAGAGGATTAATATAAACTTCAAATAAATTTTCCAGAGAAATTTGATTCCGCGTAAAAGGATTTGTAGCTGCAGAAAAAGGTGCCATTTTTCCGATACATTTTGCTTGTTATATACATACATATGTGGATGTTCTGCGCAGAGATGTGCATATAGGTTTATACAATTAAAACATTTAAAACCGCGACATGCACGCGTGTGCGAGATGTGTACATCGAAAAGATTATAAATAGGTACGCCTCGCGATTTATACAACGTATGTAATGACAACTAGTTATAGGTATACAGAAGGGAGTTTATTATGCTAAAAAGAGAAAAAGAGAGAAAATTTGTGACGTGCAAGATAGTTATAGGCATAATATACGTCATAATTTATATATGTAATATACGTGTAATATACGTCATAATTTATATGACAGCTTATTAGCATAAGATAATACTTAGAAGTTGATATTTTAAAATGGGGAATAAATTGATATTTAAATAATAGTACAAATATAAGTAAATTATATATATCTCTGCGATTGTTTTTTTTTTAGTGCGTAAATAATATATTTATAACATTGAACATAAAAAATGTATCCATGAAAAGATGTATTACAAGTCAACAAATTTAAGTACTTCGCTCATTTGTTATAACAACAACACAACTTGGGTAACTATAGAAGCATACGTCTAGGGGCATAGTGAAACATCTTTTAGTGCAAGCGACTGGATACCGAAATATCCAATCTAAATCATCTAATAAAAATTGAAGTAACGATAAAAGTAATAACTGAACTCATCTCGTTACCGTTACTGTAAAAATGTAAGGATGTTATCGTTACTATTATAGATAGAAAAAAAAAAGATTGTTACCGAAAAAAAGTAACGAGAAAGGTAATTGCGTTATAAGTAACGCGTTACTTCTCAGGATTACCTCTAGGATTTAACCTCATGAGATGTCTAAATAATTCTCACTGTGTCAGTATTAATATTAATCCTAACATGGTGTCGATTTAAAACTCTTGGTGTTTATAACAACATCATCATGGTATAGATTTAAAACCTATGATATTAAATCTGTATTATGTTAGTGTTGATATTAACAACAGTGAAATTATATAAACTCTGGATAATATTAAATTTATACACTGATATTAAATTATCTGATTTTAAACTAAATGAACAAAATTTCTGAATTAAAATATTCTAAGATAAAGTATTATTAAATAGCAATTCCTGGAGACATTCAACTTATATAAACGTTTCATCCCAGGAGTGCTGGTAGACTAAGTCTAAAGCTAAACGACGCACTGGGAGGTTGAAAAACGAAAGGGAAGATATCAGCGTAGACATCAAAATTGGAGCAATTGTAAAACATCTTTTTAGAGCTATTTTACTGGCACCCAGATTTAGAAACAGAATTCACCCATACAATTGATGCTTCAGAGATCACCGTAGAAATAGTAGTGCAACAACGGTCACACAAAAGGGATAGCTATATGTTAGCTCGTATTTCTGAAAAAAGAAGCTTAGCCGAGCTTAGACTAAATATAGATGTACGACCGAGAACTATTGGCGATTTACTCAGCAGTTAAACAGTAAAGGTACATGATAGAAGGACGATATTTCACAACATTTATATATCGATATGAATCATAAAACCAACCACACTTTTAATCAAAATCCACCTCTTGACTCTTTTCGCTATTTAGAGTATATCGACCAATTCATAATTGACATTTGACATATATTCGGAAGGGATAATATTGTA